GGCCAACGATAGCCAAGACACTCTTGAAAAGTAAGGCAAAAGAATGTACATTAACAGATATCAGGACAGTGAGATGCTGATAAACAAATACTAGACCAATGGAACAGATTGAAGAGCCCCAATACAGATCCATACATACATCAGCACATGGTATTGGACAGCGATGGGCATGCAGAGTCATTGAGAAATGACCAGTAAAAGGCACTGGATCAATTGGGTATCTATAATCATTCTTCTCACAACACACAAAAATCAATTCCAAGGTGGATTAGATACCTAAACATGAAATGTGAAAGCCTACAGCTCTTAGAAGGTTGTACAGGGAAATACCTTCATGACCCGGAAGATTTTTTAAGTAAGTAACAAAAAGCACCAACGATAAGAGGAAAGTAACAATTAAAAAAATCAAAACATTCACTACATTAAAAACTAAGCACATCTGTGGGTCGGCAATTTGCATTCCCCAATATCTGGGGAACAAAGGCATTCCAAGAAAGTCTCGGCATGGTAGCTCACAACTGTAATCCTGGCACTTTGGGAGGCAAAAGTGGAAGGATATCTGGAGGCCAGGAATTCAAAACCATCCTGGGCAACATAGATCCTATCCTTTACAAAAACACATACATAAGAATAATTTTTCATAGAACTCTATTCACTAAAGATATTATAAAGAGAATGAATATACAAATGACTGGGAGGGAGGCAAGACACTTGCAACTAACCAACAAATAGAAATTTGTCAAAACCACAGTAAGATACCACTACATGCCTACAAAATGACAAAGCTTTAAGAATCCTGCTGCAGGGTGGCAGAGCTTTGAAATTCTCATATGCTGCCAGTGGGAAGATAAACTGGTATACCACTTTGGAAAGATGTCGGACATTATACAGTAAAGTTGAAGACAGGTATATCACATGACCCAGAAATGTTACTTAGTTTCTACCCTGAAGAAATGGCTATACACATGTACCACAACATGTCCACAGCAACATTGTATGTAATAGTAAAAAACTGGGAAAACTCCAAATGGTCTATTCATAGTACAACAGATAAATTTTAGTATTTTCATTCAGTGGATATTATATAGATGCTGAGCAGACAAAAAATAGAAAAGGCTGCTGCTGCATAGTGACCTATGCAGAAATGGCTGTCTTCCCTATAGTAAGAGAGTGACAGACCAGCAAGGCTAAGAAGAAAATTAAATATAGCTCCCAGAACCGACCATAGCGACAGCAGGGAGTGTTTTGAGTTCCAACATGTAGCAGACACTGTGCTAGACTGTCTTAAGATAACTCTACCTCCCACAACCATTCTGCAAAGTAGGAATTATTTTGTACATAAGGAAACCGAAGAACAGAAAAGTTAAAGGACTTACCTGGAGGCACAGAGATAGTGGGGGACAGAAGTGAAGATTTTCGACCAGGTATCAAATCTGACCCTCTTTCCATTGAAGTATAAGCTATTGATTGCTTGCAACAACCATTCACCACCTCTCCCTTCTTCCGGAACGCTGGTTTTGTTAAGATGTACCACCTCTTCTGTGCTGTCCGCCCTAGGGATGGAAGAGCAAAATACAGAACAAGCCTGGGTCCCTGAGGACTCTCTGTGGCAATGCTGCCGGGCCATGCCCTTTAGATGTTTTTACTTCCTTTTATTTATTTGTCCTTTATTTTGGTTTTAGGCTAGGTGGTTGTAGAACTGCTAGGGTTTTTGAATCAAAAAGAAAACGTAGTTAGAAGGCAAACTTCCCATTTCCTTCCAAACCATTGCAAGTATTACTGAAACACAAACCAGATCACCGCAGCAGATGCTGCAAGGTCTACAACAGAACTGGTTTACGCAGCCTGCAGAAGAGAACCCACGCAGGAAGGCCTGTGAGTGTGAAGGGCTCTGGGAAGCCTGAGGTGGCTAAGAGACCACTGCGGGGGTGGAGGCGTATACTTTATCCTGCCTCCTGATTCATTTGCCCTGTGAAGCTCATAGGTCCCTGCCAGACAAAAGCCCACACAGCCCTGTGCCTCTTGCCTTCCTAGGCTCAGCGCTTCTTCCTGGTCCAAAGCAGTTCATTCCAAAGTGAAAATTCAGAGCCACCACATTGTCATATCCCCTCAAGCTACAATCCCGGTTCCCAGTCTGTCTAGGAAGTTCTATTGCTATCAAGAAGCTCTCATGATCTTCTTACTGCTTTGCTGTGGACGTTCCTCTCATCTGGCTCCTGTGCCTCAACACCCCTGCCTCCCCCCGGCACTGGCCAGAGGCAGTCCATCCTGTGAGCACTTCTAGTCCCCTCTTAACCTCACATTAAGGAGGAGGATGTCTGATTGCCAAGAGCTATGGCTACAGACACAAAGCCGTCTCTTTTTGGGTGCTGGGATCCTTTATTCTATCTCTTTTGTCTCTCTGGAGTATTCTGCAACCTTCAAAGTTGTGCTCTGACTCTGGCCTTTGGGTATGGCCTGTGGTGGGCTGTGCCCCTGGCATCAACAAAGGCTTTGACACAGTGTGGCCTTCAAAGAACTGCTTGGCCGAAACCCCAGAGGCCTGGAGCTGCAGGGAAAGTGGGTTAGCCCAGCTTTCACAAGGACCGTTTGGTCTCACTTCAGTTTCTGCTCCATTGTGGGAACTAATGTGACCCTTAAGACCTTTCCGATCACAAGGGTGGTGCTGATGGGTATTTATGTTAAAGCCAAAACCTTCGGCTAACTTGAAAGCTGACAGGACTCTGCTAATTCTTTGTGTTAATATGGAATCTACTCTCTGGCCTTCCAGGTCAGGATCTTGGGTGGGACGCCTGGGGCCTCCATATGCCTCTGAATTTTCTGGAACCAAATTGCTTTTCTTCTCTCATTTCAAGGTCCAAGGAGAGAGAACCAATAGCAAAGGCCATGTCTGGAAGCAATCTGGGTGGGGGAGGGGGTATTTTGAGGCCTGCCCAGCCCACCCTGCCCTCTCTTCTTTGTTCAGCCTAGGCAATGGAGCCACAGTTGCCCACTCGGGGCTGTTTTAATTGTCCCCAGAAACCTAACTTCTAGAGAAACAATTGGCTTGCAAAGGATTCCAGACTCTCTGAACAGATAGATGATCAGAATCTGAAATGACTGCTTTTCATTAAGGAGATATTTCAAGAGGGACTGTGGTACCAAACAGTGAATGCCTGCCCCTAAGCCCCTGATGAGAAGGAATTAAGGGGCCCATGACTATGTATGTGACCAGAAGCCACATCAGCCTCCACCAGGCCTGGCAACTGTCCCTAGTGTTCTGTTCTTCACCTCCTGTGGCTCCTGACTCTTCAGTTCTCAGTTAGAATTGAGGTCAGCTCTCTCGTTTCTTTGTCTGGCCCCTTCACCACCCACAATGCAAACCCACACTGAGTGACCAACCAGCCAGAGGCCCAGAGCAGCCCCCATAGCAACCAGAGGGTGCCAAGCTTGCTGCCACAGCCCGCAACATGCCAACACCCCATTTGGACTTTTACATGACAAATAAACTTCTACTTTGTTCAACTGCTATTGTTTTGTCTCTGTGACTAAATCAAAAGTTCTGGCAAACTTAGAAAACAGCAGAAAAACTAGGTGCAAAGTGCTGAAAGTTTAGCAGCCTCTGGTGGGAGCACGAAAGCCCCAGGCAGGTTTCTGTCCACAACACTTTAATGCGGAGCACTCTCCTAGTCTTCTAGATCTGTCTGTTACATGGCCTTTCCACAGTTCAGCTTCCTGTGCTCCCCAAAACTTCACCTTGGAAACACATTTAACTGGTTCTGCCCTCCAGCCTTGTGTGACTTTGTGGGTCCACAGCCAATATCAAATAACTGCAGACACCGGATACTTGTCTGGGGAAGCTCCGGAGGCAAGCAGGACTTCAGACTTTCAGGCTCCAGGCTTGCATATGAAAACCTTACAAACATCTTTGTGGCAAGGGACAGATGGCATGATCAGGTAGGCCGGGTAGGATGAACTGCAGGAAGGTAGATGACCAGAATGGGGAGTGCTGATGAGGTAGGGCTGGGGAGAATGAAGACTAATGCCCAAGATCAAAGTTAGGGAAATAAAGTTTCACTGCCAAGTCCAAAGGTCAGGGTCACCGTGGAAAACTAGACGCAAAGCCAAGGTCAGAAGCCAACAGAACTGGAAAAATGGAAACAGGCCAGGGAACAAGACTAGGCTGGGCATGGTGGTTGCTGAGAATGAGCTGGTACCAAGCCTAGCGTCATTGTCTCTCAACCTAGCCTCATGCACAGAAAGGTCGTACCAACGAGGACAGGGCTGGGTTTAAGTGATGTCACCAAGGGGGAACAAAAGAAACCAGCTTTTCTTAACCCAGATCCGTAACTCTCGAGTTGTGCACAAGATTGTGTACATTTTCCTGAGTTTGTTAAAGGGAACAGCGCCCCCAAATGGGTTATTTTAAGGTTTGAATGTGGAATCTGGTTATCCAGAAGAAAACGATCACTGTCGACCTCTGCCGATCTCTGCAGGCTTTCCTCAGTCTCCACGAAGTCCTTTAGCGGCTGAGGGTCTCGGCCAGAGGTCAAGGCCTGTAAGCCTATCCCTCTCAGAAGCGCCAAACACCGAGCCGGGAGGAAGACGAGTCTAGTAAACGAGGGAGAATGGGCACGGGGCGGAGGGTCGGATTAAAAAAAGGGGCTGTGATCCGTGCCAATGGGGACATCGACTGGTTTGAATATTAACGCGAGGTTTTTCCGCTTCTTCATAATGTCTGTTTTGTTTTACCGGGAAAGCAAATGTATTCCTATCCCTCTATTTGAGGATACGGTTGGAGATCCGGGAAGGGGGGGGGTGCAGCGCCCAGACAGTTGTCCCATCTCCTCCGGGACCGCGACCCCGCAATGCCAAGACTCGGACTGAGGCGGAGGATCCCCACCCGCTGCGTCGTGGCGCTGCCTGTCGCCCCGCCCCTTGACGGGGCCCGTGGCGCGCCCATGTGACGTAGGGCCTGTGTCGACATCGGCGCGCGCCGAGCCCGGAAGAGGCGCGGGCTAAGAAAGGAATCGGTTCGCGCAGGTGCGGCGCCTCGGTCCCCATGGCGCTGTGGCGCGGCTCTGCGTACGCGGGCTTCCTGGCGCTGGCCGTGGGCTGCGTCTTCCTGCTGGAGCCAGAGCTGCCAGGCTCGGCGCTACGCTCTTTCTGGAGCTCGCTGTGTCTGGGACCCGCGTCTGCGCCCCCGGGAGCCGTCTCCCCCGAGGGCCGGTTGGCGGCCGCCTGGGACGCGCTTATCGTGCGGCCAGTACGGCGCTGGCGCCGCGTGGCAGTGGGGTGAGTGCCGGAGGGGCCTGGGTCTCTGAACCTCCGAGGTTTGCTTTGGAGGTCGGGCGGAGCCCGCGCAGAAACTGGGCTCCCCAGAGGTCCCCGGGCGGCGCTGCTGTCCGCGCTGGCCCCTTGGTGAGAAGTGTCGGACGTCTGAGTTGAACCGGTTCGTCACCGCTGCTCTTTCCACTCGGCTGGCCTCTACGCCTTTCTCTCATCCCGGTAGGACCAGCCCTAATAGCTGCTTGCTAATCGCGGTTTGCCTGACACCTTTCTCCGAGCCTTCTTCCTCATTTCAACTTTTAGCCCCTTCTCCTCTGGCGACTGCTGTTTTGCAGTGAAAGATTGCACCTTACCCACTCTTCTTCCTCTTACTTCTGAACTTCTTGAAGATGAGTGATCTCTGACTTTACCCACTTTCTTTCTTAACGCTGTATAGTTTAGAAACCACACCAGAATACTGCAACTCCGCTCTGATTTGCCTTTTTGAGTCTTCATTATATACTCTCTGCAGGCTTCCACGCATTGAACACGCCCTTCTCCGTGAAACACTTTCCTTCCCGACTTCAGTGACATTGCATATTTAAGGCTCTTCCAAATCACAGTGCCTCCTTTCTTTGTACTCTTCCTCGGGGATGTAATTATTCCCTTTATAGTGTTTGTGTTATAAGCACTAACTTTAGTCCCTAAGTTCGATTTGCCTTTCTTGCTGTAACCTCGGAGTTATGTATAACCACCACACAAAAGCAGGCCCTCTACCATGTAGCCTACTACTGTCTCTGGAGTGTTGGGGCCAGGAGGGGTAAAGTAAAGCAAACTTGTCCAGAAGATTTAATGACATAATTCATGTAATCTATCTAGCATGGTGCCTGCTTTAAAAAGCATTCAATATTGCTATAATTTTTTTCTTTTTTTTAATTTTTTATCTTTGGACACCGGGTCGGTCTGTGTCTCCCTCTCTCTCCCTCTCTCTCTCTGTCTCTCTCTCTCTCTTTTTTGCCTAGGCTGGAGTGCCGTGGCGCAATCACTTCTGCCTCAGCCTCTGGAGTAGCTAGGACAACAGGCAAGCACCACCATGCCCAGCCAATTTTTTTTTAGTAGAGTCAAGGCCTTACTGCCCAGGCTGGTCTTGAACTCCTGAGCTCAGCTCAAGTGAACCTCCCACCTGGAACTCCCAAAGTGCTGGGATTAAATTGTCCTTCCTGCTTTATGCGCATTCATTCAGCAGATACTCACCAACTACACGGTTAGTGTCAGATCTGTGCTAGGTTCTCAAGGTACAGAGATGGGTGAAGCAAGGTCCCTGCCTCACTTGTTGGAAACACATGTTATTGCATCAGTCTACTTGGGCTGCTAGAACAGAATACCATAAATTAGGTGGATTAAACAACAGAAATTTATTTTCTCATGGATCTGGAGGCTGATGATTCAAGATCAGGGTGCTGGCAGGATTGGTTTCTCATGTGGCCTCTCTTCCTAGCTTGCAGGCAGCTGGCTTTTCACTGTTAGTCTGCGCATGCACACTCCTGGTGTCTCTTACTCCTATTATGTGGACACTAGGTCCTTATGGAATAGGGCTCACTCATATGACCTTATTTAACCTTCATTACTTCCCTAAAGACCCCATGTCCAAATATAGTCACATTGGGAATTAGGGTTTCAACATATGAATGGGGGCCAGGCACAAGCCTTAATTGTCTTTTACAACTTAGGAACTCTTCTACCAGAGTCACAGGTCCACCTGGTTTTAAGGGAGGGGACATAGAACAAACCTTGATGGGAGGAGCATCAGTGTCACATTGTGAAAAGAACATGTAGATTGGGACATCTTACTGCGACCATCTTGGAAAATGTATTCTATAGTGACTTTCGTGGGACAGATCCTAAAGAAAAAATGAAATTTCTCCAAGCAAAAGTGGGAACAGGTCCACTTAGGCAGGAGAATCAAATGTGGAAAAGTACATGGTTTAGGAGCAAGTCAGCCCTGTTTTGGAGCAAGAATCATGGTAGAGGGTTGTAAAGAGATGATGCTGAGAATGAAGGGTTGGACCAGGTTGTGAAGGGCCCATGTCAGGGTAGGTGATGGGGAAGCCATAAAGGTTTATAAGCAGTTAACTGATGGCAAGTTCTTTGTTGAGAATTGGTAGGAATGTGAAGGGTGGATTTTGAGCAGTGGTTCTAACCTGTTTCGCTGCTTTTCATCATCTATTACCTAAAAAGGATTTGTAGCCCAAAGATGGGAATATAGGAGGAATGGGTGGGAACAGGTGCAGTACTTGCATCAGAATCTCATTTCGAGGTTGTAGTTTGACTTCCCTAGAGACACACCCAAAATGCAATTTAATGTGATTCATATGGAGAAATAACTTGAGACCCTGACGCTGGTTTAAGAGGCCATTGTAGGGTTTGTGTAAAGGGAGAAAGGACCCTGAACCAGACTTGGTAATGATGTAGAAGAGGTGAGATTTGAAGATAACCTGAATAATAGGTTGGATGTGGTGGAGTAAAGAAAGGCAGTCAAAAACGACAGGTTTTTAGTACTGGATATCTTGTTTAGTTTTTGTTTTTTGAGACAGCATCTCACTCTGTCACCCAGGGTGGAATGTGCATTGGCATGATCAAGCTGACTACAGCCTTGACCTGTCACGCTCAGTGTCCCAAGTAGCTTGAACTACAGCATGTACCACCGCAGCCAACTAATTTTTATATTTTTGGTAGGGACAGGATTTGCCAAGTTGCTCAGGCTGGTTTCAGACTACTGAGCTCAGGCCCTGGCCTCCCATCTTGGCCTCTGAAAGTGTTGGAATTATAGGTGTGAGCCACCTCATCCAACCCAGTATTAAATATCTTATAGCAACTAATATGGTTAGGCTTTGTGTCCCCACCTAAATCTCATCTTGAATTGTAATCCCAATAATCTAATCAAGGGAGAGACCATGTGGGGGTAATTGAATCATGGGGGCGGTCCCCACGTGCTGTTCTCCTGATAGTGAATTCTCACGAGATCTGTTGGTTTTTATAAGAGGCTCTTCCCTGCTGTTCGCTTGGCGTCTCCTTCCTGACACTTTAAGAAGGTACCTTGCTTCTCCTTCACCTTCCATCATGACTGAGTTTCCTGAGGCCTCCCCAGCCATGCTGAACTGTGAGTCAGTTAAACTTCTTTCCTTTTTAAATTACCCAGTCTTGGGCAATTCTTTATAGCATTATGAAAACGGACTAATACAACTTTATGAGGGAAGCAGATAAAAGATAATTGTCACCGAGTCTTCACACATTGATTTGCCCAAGATTTCTTAGCATCAAGTGCCAGAGGGGCAGTTGAAGCCTGGTCTTTCCCATTTCTGGTTCTATGTCCATGCCATGTTGTTGCCTTTAAGAGAGATGTAAGAAGAAGAGTCAAGTTTGTAGAAGAAGACATATTGGATTTCAGAGGAAGAGAAATGTACATACATTGTTGTGGGGTTTCTAATGAAGCTTCTCTGTCAGCCACTGAAAATGAGAAGCTGGTTTTTAGGAATACATTGCGAAACAGGGTTGCAAGTTTTGGAGACACTGGCACTAAGGTTGAAGCCAGAGACAGGATAGGATCATCCAGGAAGAGAAGAGGAGAAGGTAAAAATGGTGAGGGTGGAATTCTGGGAGGCACCAGTATTTAAGGGGCTGGCAGAAAGGCGTCATAAAAGTAAAGGATAGAAGGAATTTTATGGAGCTTCTAGGAAACTTCTCCTGCTTCTAAATCAGACACTGGTGCCTGTTGTTCATTGATTTTAAAACGATGAAACCTGCCGGGCATGGTGGCTTGTGCTTGTAATCCCAGGACTTTGGGAAACTGAGGCGGGCGGATCACCGGAGACTGGGAGTTCGACACCAGCCTGACCAACATGGAGAAACCCTGTCTCTACTAAAAATAGAAAATTAGCCGGGCTCAGTGGCATATTTCTGTAATCCCAGCTACTTGAGAGGCTGAGGCAGGAGAATCACTTGAACCTGGGGAGCGGAGTTTGCAGTGAGCCGAGATTGTGCCATTGCACCCCAGCCTGGGCAATAAGCGAAACTCCTCAAAAAAAAAATAAATGGTGAAACCCTCATGTTAATATATTCATTGCCCCTGGAACTGGCTTCACCCTGGCCCTTGAAACATACCTTGGTTTTCTCCCCTGTGTGAATTCTCCATTCTAGCTAAATCATTCTTATTATGTCCAAACACAAGGTAGTCCCTTTGTGTACAACTTTGTGCATATTTCCTATTTGGGCTTCAGTATCAGATAAATCATGGCATAACACCTATTATGCCATGAATTCATAGAGAAGAGGTTCCAGCAGCTCAGGCTCCTTCCCACTGGTTCTCACAAAGTGTGCTGCTCTGGGTGGAGCAGGCTGGCGCGTCAGCTGAACCCAGGTACCTTTCTCTTTGGCTTTCTTCTTTTTCTGATCATTTTCCTTCACACGTTTCAGGAAGCTGTCTTGGCTTTTAGAGTGCTTAATGTGCTCAGTTTGAATTTGAGCTCCGCCTGTCTGTGGCCTTTGGAATGTTAGTTAATCCACAGCCTCACTTTTGTCAGCTGAAAGCAGTGATGACTAATGAGGGATCTTACAGTGTTTTGCAAATATGTGTAATGTATCTGAAAATGCCTGACTAGCATGGGGTGCTTCTTAAAGATCAGCCACCTTTCTCTGCCTGGATGCAGGAGCTAAGGTTCAGCCCAGGGACAGATGCCCAGCCTTTCCCCCACCCCCCTTTACAGTTCTGTTTTAACGATTATGATTAGCTCTTAAAACAGCTGATGCGCATAACGTAAAGCTACAGAAAACCTTAGAAAACATTTACAGGTGATGCAAAAGAAGGGAGGAGATAGGAAACATCGTCCTTGCCTTAGAGATAGTTTCAGTCTAGAAGGGAGAACTATGCCCTCTTTGCCAGTCCCCCGCCCATGCAACTCTTTTTGGCATTCAGCATCTGTTGTCTTGACCTATCTTCCAATTGTTTCATCTGTGTTTTCTCCAAAATCACACTGTCATTGCTTACACACTTTTTACTAAGTGTGAGATTATTTGGGGGGGGGGAGGATGGGATGGAGGATGGATTGAAGGGCTTCTTGCTATATTGCCCAGGCTGATCTCAAACTCCTGACCTCAAGCAATCTCCACTGCTTCAGCCTCCCAAAGTATTGGGATTACAGGCCTGAGCCACAGTCCTTGGTCTGGTTCATGTATTCAAACTGAACATTTGAATCATTAATCATTCATTAAAGATTTATTGCATAAACAAAAGGAATTCATTTTTTAAAAGCAAATAAACTGTTTATTTGGTCTTTCCTCCTTTGTGTAGGATTAAAGCCCAGATAGTTAAAAATCCGTGGACTCTAAGCATGACAGATCTCTATAGTAATCTTTCTCCTTGTAAAATACACACAATCTTTCTTTGTGTACCGTTTCAGTATCTAATAACCATCATTTTAGTGAAAATGTCCCCATTTATTAAGCTCAAATTTCAAGTGGTACTTCGAAGCCCGTTTCTTTAGGTAGAGAGAGATTATAGCTAATAACCGGACTCTTGTACAAGTACACACACACACACACACACACACACACGTCTTTGTAAATACTGGAGATTATGAAGTGTGAGATTCTGTTTGCATGTCAGATGAGCATAATTTTGTCTTCTGATTTTTTTTTTTTTTTTTAACACCTCTTATGCCATGAATTCATAGGGAAGAGGTTCCAGCAGCTCAGGCTCCTTCCCATTTGTGGTTCTCACAAAGTGTGCTGCTCTGGGTGGAGCAGGCTGGCACTTCAGCTGAACCCAGGTACCTTTCTCTTTGGCTTTCTTCTTTTTCTGATCATTTTCCTTCACACGTTTCAGGAAACTATCTTGGCTCTTAGAGTGTTTAATGTGCTCAATACACACATTAATTCTCTTGGCAAGAATCTTACCCTTGTTTGTTTACAACAATGCCAACAGCATGCTGGGTAACATTGTAGACTCTTCCAGTTTTGCCATGGTAACCTTTGTGGGGTATTCCTTTTTAAACAGTACCCATTCCCTTGATTCTTCAATATCACATTTCTTATAGATTCGCATATACATGGCCAAAGGACAGCTCCATGTTTTCTAAAAGGTCTAGAGAACATACATCGGGTGCCTCTCCTCTTTTCCTTTGTGTTTGTCATTTTGGCAAATTACTGGAAGATGGTGGTTCTGGCTGAAAAGTCTTCTGATTCTTTGTGTCCCTTTATTTCCCCTTGGTAATACAGCACCTTAGGTAATATGCTTTTTACATTTTGGGATGCTATTAAGTTGAGGTAAGTGCAGAGAAAGGTTCTTGGCTCTGGTTAAATATCACATAGAAAGTACATGTAAAATACTTGTTTGACATCTGACACGTAGTAGATGTTGAGTGTTTTTTGAGAAAGGGTCTTGCTCTCCCACCCAGGCTGAAGAGCAGTGGTGCCATCTTGGCTCACTGCAACCTCTGCCTCCTCCCAGGCTCAAGCAATCCTCCTGCCTCAGCTTCCTGAGTAGCTGGGGCTACAGGTGTGCACCACCACACCTGGCTAATTTTTATATTTTTTGTAGAGATGGGCTCTTCCTATATTGCTCAGGCTAGTCTGAAACTCCTAGGCTCAAGGGATTCAACCTCTTTGGCCTCTCAAAGTACTGGGGTTACAAGCGTGAGCCAACATGCTCTGCCTGTTTGTTTTTAAAATTATAAGAAGTCATCAAGTAAACCATGAACCAGTCTGAAAAACTGGTTATTTTCCCTTAGTATTCCTGATGTGATTAGGTGAAGGATGGAAAATGTTTCGTGATAGTGATATTTTTTAACTCAAAATTAGTTCGGAGTTATGGAACTAATTGGGTGTTGCCTTGTATTACAAAATATGCTGAACTTTGTTCCTTTTCTTTTTGTTCTTTTATAACTTTTGGAAGCAGCTTTCCCCATTCTCATCTTTAAGGAGTCTGTAAAATCTCAGCAGGACCAGATATGGAGGGTGAGGTGTTTATAGTTTTTGAAGTATTTTCAAAGACAGGTTTCCCTCTGTTTTTTTGAACTTTTACTCTTGAGACTCGAGACCCAAATCCATTTGGATACAGTTTTTTTTAGACTGGGCTGTCTGGAGGAATGGTATCCCTCCTTATCCAAGTCCTCACTGTCTGAAACTTAGGAACCTACTGGGATTGAGAGCTAGAGATACTTCTATTCCTGATTCTGCCTACCAATCTAATGTTGCATTCATTAGAAATAAAGGGCACCCTATCTGAGGTGGAATTGAGACAGTTTGCAAGGTGTGTTTGGTTTCTTAAACTGTAAGCCTATGAAATGAAAGATATTTTAAACATATCTTTAAGCACCTGCCACATGCATGTCCAGCATGGCTTCTCCTGTGTATGTCAGAGAAGTTCTGGCTTATATTTTCAGTGTTTCTTTACTGTAAGTCATCCCTCTTTTAAAGAAAAGGGCCAAATAATTAGAGTAGCTAGATGTTTTATGCACTGAAAGGCCTAGTAACTCTTAGGTTATGCTTCTCCAGTTGACCAGAGTCATTATGTATGTCCTGAACAAGAAACTGAGTATTTAAATGCTGTTTGGTAGGCAAAACTCCTTTCAAAACATGAATCCCTAGGGGAAAATTAATAAAAAGGACCCTTATAATGAGGACGCAGTCCATTTGTTCTTCTTCATCCCAGTCTCATTCCTCTTCATTTTTGAAGGAAACTAGACAGGAAATGTAACTATGTATTTTACACCAAAATCTCATCCACTGGGACATTTTTATTAATGAGTTTACCTTCTGGTTTCAGAGTTGCTCAGAATTAAATCTGAAGCCCAGTCACCCATGTCGCTAGGGACCATCTCAGTTGGCCGGCTGGGAGCTGCCTGTATGGTAATCCAGCCTCCCTGGTCAGAAGGACATCCCAATAGGCAGAGGCAGGAATAAAGATGACCGTGACAGGGGAAGGGGCAGGAAGACTTCATCTAGCTACCCTAATTATTTGAACCTTCTCTTTAAAAAAGGGATGACTTTTAGCAAAGAGCCCCTGAAAATATAAACCAGACCTTCTCCGTGCACACATAGGAGAGGCCATGCCAGACAACCTTAGGATAAGTTGAGCACCCAAAATCCAAAATGCTCTGAAATCCAGAACTCTGGGGGCACTTACATGATGTCACTACCATATATTAAGTACTTCTATGTGAAAATTCCACTCACGTGGGAGTATTTAATACAGACTTTATTTCATGCACAAAATGATTTAAAACATAAAGTTACCTTCAGGCTCTATGTATAAGGTACATATGAAATGTAAATGAAGTTTGTGTTTGGACTTGGGTTCCGTTCCCAAGATATCTCATTTTGTGTATGTAAATATTCCAAAATCCAAAATCAGAAATACTTCTGATCTCAAGCACTTCAGATAAGGGATTCAACCTGTACTTTATAATTTCTAGACAACCAGGAGTGGCAGCTCTTTAATGTTCCTGGGTCGGTCTGACCAAGGGGTGAGTTGTTACAATGCTGCAAGTGTGCCTAAGTCTGTAAATCACCACTAAACTTGAAGAGACAGGGTTTCAGCTGAGAACTCCAGCGTTTAGGAATTCATTCTGTGTTACCACCATCCTCATTTGTCTTTGGAGGGAAAATGTCTGATACCTAGCCCTTGACTGAAATATGTATTTTGATTGCTCTGTACCAATCACTGTTCCTAAGATATGTTCACTTATTTAATTTTTAACCATAGCTCTATGGGTTAAATGCTCATATTATTGCCATTTTGTGTATGAGGAAACGAGGCACAGCAAAATTAGTGATTTGCCCAAGTCACACAGCCAGCATGAATCCAGTTTGGCTCTGCCAGCGTTTTCTCAGAAATGTTATATTTTTGATACAGTAGCTTTGTTCTGAAATGGTAAGCACCTTTCTTCTCACTTTGTAACTAGTGTGAAAGTTTGCCAAACTACTGAAGTGTCCTGTGTTCTGATCCTAATACATACATCCAGTTAAAGTAATTTTCCTCCTGCCATGTGCTATTTCCAATTCAGGTTTCAGATCTACTTCCCCCATTCTTCTGTTGAATACGGTCCTGAGAAACATTTTTTTGTTAAATGCAAAATAGCTACTCAGTGTTTCTGCTGTTTTCTTTCACACAGTTTTTTTCCTCTTTCCAGAGTCAATGCATGTGTTGATGTGGTGCTCTCAGGGGTGAAGCTCTTGCAGGCACTTGGCCTTAGTCCTGGGAATGGGAAAGATCACAGCGTTCTACATTCAAGGAATGATCTGAAAGAAGCCTTCATTCATTTCATGGGGAAGGGAGCAGCTGCTGAGCGCTTCTTCAGTGATAAGGAAACTTTTCATGACATCGCCCAGGTTGCGTCAGAATTCCCAGGAGCCCAGGTCTGTTTGGTTAAGCAATAGTAAATTAAGGATGGGAAAAGATGCCTTTTTCCTATAGTTCCTAGAAGCAAGCAAGCAACTTTTCATTCCAGTTTGAAGAGGAGAGGAGCAAAATCACTCCTGATTGAAACTGCTGGTCTAGTTGGTGGTTGCCAGATTCGAGCATGCATCAGAATCATTTGGAGAGGCTGTCGAGACACAGATTTCTGGGCCTACTCCCAGAGTTCTGATTGAGTAGATGTGGGATGGGACCCAAGAATTTACCTTTCCAGTGAGTTTTCTGGTTGATCTTCTAGGTCTGAGAACCTCATTTTGAGAACTACTGGCCTGCAGGGTAGAACCTGTTAGTTAGAGAGAACCTTAGTCGTTTCCAAGCTCACCTGGTGATTATATACAAAGCCCTGCATGGTCCAGGCACTTCCTGGAGGCTCACATGGAATAAGAGGCAGTGCTGGGGCTGGAGACCCAACCATGGCTCTTCCTACCTCACCCCGATATGCCTGCTCCTGCATGTACCCCCATTCCCCTTGAGGCTGAGTTTTCGTTGTTTATCTCCCATGTCTTGCACCCCACCCCATTCTTACTCCTCATTTAAACCTGCCTTTGGCTGGGCACCCCATCTGGGTTGGTAGTTCTAGCCAGGGAAGCTCTTAATGCCATTTTTAATTGGCACCTTTCACCGGCAAACCTTTGTGACTGCTTTTATTTTGATGACTGAAGATTTGAGGCTGGGCACAGTGACTTAGGCCTATAATCCCAGCACTTTGGGAGGCTGAGACAAGTGGATTGCTTGAGCCCAGGAATTACCAGCCTGGGCAACGTGGTGAAACCCTGTCTCTACAAAAAATAGAAACAATGAGCTGGGCATGGTGACATGTGCCTGGGGGAGGCTCACCTGAGGCTGGGAGATCAAGACTGCAGTGAACCATGATCATGCCACTGCATTCCAGTCTGGGCCACAGTGTGACCCTGTCTCAAAAAATTTTTAAAATAAAAAGTTTTTTGTCCTTGAAGGTGCCTATTTGAACATTAGAAATGGGCATAGGCATTAGCTGAGTTTCTAAAGGAGATAGCAAGTTAAGATTTTAGTTACCATTTTGACAGCTGAGCTCAGTAGTGAGCTTCTTGTCTCTTATGAGAGAATCTCCATAGTTCTAATATGAAGATGAGCCCACTGCTCAAAAGTCTTTATAATTATAGAATTTAAACCACTAGTTTAAATTCTCTTCTCTCTTGATTCTGCCTTTGTTTCTTGATGAAAAAAACTTTTACAGCAACTTTAGCTTTGTGATGGTCCAAGTTATTTCTTAACATTGTAAAAGCCCCCTTCGCTAAGGGAGTGCCTTTTTGTACTTCTTTATAGTTTAAGGCAGGTTGACTGATAAACAACAGTTAATAACCATTATATGAAAATTCTGAAATCCGCTTTGTAGATATCTTACTATTTTCCAAGATTTTTTTTAGTAAATTCTAGCTATCATGGTTAAATAAAACATTAATTAAGGCTGACATGTTAAAAGGACAAATTTCAACCTGCATATCACAAAAGGTTTTAAATTTGTCTCCTAAAAGCTGTTGCTGTCCCACCTGAATTCAGAGGTTTGTCAGCACAAAATTGGGATGAGAGTGATGTCTGCCATCTAGAATTATTTACTGTAAGCTTTTCCAAACTGCAACCCAGGACAGCTTCGAATGTGGCCCAACACAAATTTGTAAACTTTCTTAAAACATTGTGAGATTTATTCCCCTCCCTCCTTTTTTTTTAATAACTCATCAGCTTTCGTTATTGTTAGTGTGTTTTATGTGTGATCCAAGATAGTTCTTCCAGTGTGGCCCAGGGCAGCCAAAAGATTGGACACCCCTGGTTTAGTCTATGCCTCTGCATGGGCTGAGGACTAGGAAGGTGGGATAGTAGCATTGAACCCAGGCAACACTATTGATGAGGCTTTTCAGCTTGCGTAATAGAACAGTAACCTTATCTCCTATGTGTCAGATTTCTGGCACGTGAATCCACCCTTAGTCAGCAACGTGGAACACCAGCCCTGAATCTGTTCTCCAGGTCCTCACCTGAGAGATGTGGTGTTTAAGGGAAAATACTGTCCTATGTTAGGGCCCATTATCTTTAGAATTTACTCCCAGGAAAACCTTTATATTTCCTAACACATCAGTGTATTTCTTCATTTCTCAAAATTTAGCAACAAACATCTACTGAACACTTAGAAGACAGTCCCCGCCCCGAAAGAGCTAGTCTTGTGCCCAGACGATAGTGGCCCAAGGGGACAAGAGCCATGTTAGAGGTTTGTTCAAGTTATAAGGGGTAGGAAGAGATCTGTAATCTTACCTGGTGAGGGCAGCGTGAAGACAGATGTCAGTGGGGAAAGGGTAACAGAGAAGGCATTGCATAAGAGGTGACACTGCAGCTGATTGTTGGAAAGTGATCAGGGGTTTGCCTAGTACGTATATGAGAAGGGGAGGGTGTCCTAATGGAAGGAAACAGCATGTGCCAAAGGCAGAGAGACAGAGGAAGGCTGACTTGGAGAGCTGTAAGCAGCAGGATGTGGAAGGGAAGGGCAGGAGATGAAGGTGGTAAGGAACGCATGGGTTAGATATAAAGCCCGTATGTGCCTCACTCAAGAGTTAGATTTGGCTGCGCTCGGTAGCTCACGCCTATAGTCCCAGCACTTTGGGAGGCCGAGGCGGGTGGATCATGAGGTCAAGAGATCGAGACCATCCTGGTCAACAAGGTGAAACCCCGTCTGTACTAAAAATACAAAAATTAGCCTGGGCATGGTGGTGCGTGCCTGTAGTCCCAGCTACTCTGGAGGCTGAGGCAGAAGAATTGCTTGAACCCAGGAGGCGGAGGTTGCGGTGAGATCGCACCATTGCACTCCAGCCTGGGTAACAAGAGCGAAACTCCGTCTCAAAAAAAAAAGAGTTAGATTTTAGTTCATTATAGTATCTAGTGAATGATTCTCCACAGGATAGTGACATTTTTCTTCGTTTTAGAAGACTATAATGTAGAAGATAAGCCAAGCCCTGTCCACACTTTTCATGTTTTCTATGTCTGTTCTGGCTACTTGTAAGCTCAGAGCTAAATTTGATCTATAGTTAAAGCAATCAGACTAATTTTCATGGTTGTCGTATTTATTTCTTCTCCTTATAACTCACTTTCTGTGTTTCATTAACTTAATCTGTATCCTTTGATGTAAAATCATCTCAAAATGTTTTTGGAAAAATGGACTGTAAATTTTTTAAATAAATAATGATTAAACTTGGGTGATTTGGTTGTATTAAAATACTGTCTAAAAGCCTTGAACTCTCTTACAGCACTATGTAGGAGGAAATGCAGCTTTAATTGGACAGAAATTTGCAGCCAACTCAGATTTAAAGGTAGGTCAAAATTTCAGATTAAAAACCTGTGCCTTTCACTAGTGTTTGAATAATTTTAGCAGCAAGAATGGGTTTCTGTTCCTTGATTCAACTTGCTATGTACCTGCTATGTACTAGACCCTGGGTCTTTTGTTAGGAATCAGTAACAGTAGGAGGTCAGTAGTAACTGATATTTCGTGAGTGTTTACTGTGTGCCTGACATTGTCTTTAGTGCTTTACATAAATCATCTAATCCTTGCAATAACCCTGTCAGGCTAGTTGGTCCTGCTATTGTTCTTCCTTTCTACATGAGGAAACTTGATTAAGAGAGAGGTTCACAACTGATAAGTAATGGAACGAGGAATTTAACCCAGGCAGTCTGACCCAATAACCCATGTTCTTAGGTACCATATCATGTAATAGGAGCATGTGGGCCTTGAGACTGAGGATTATACAAGCAACGAGAGAAAACATAGTTAGCCATGTTGGTGAACTTGGATCCAACTGCCAAAAAATAAAAGCCACTAGATGACAGTCAGTAGGGGAGTGTCTTCAAGACTTAAATTGTTTGGTGTAAGTAGAATTAAAAATTGTTGCCATGTTCACCATAACACCTGAATAAAAAGTTTTTCTTGCTGTGAGTACCATAGGCCTGAGGGGGGAGGCCAGCAAGAAAGTTATCACTGTTGTGCTGTAAAATGATCAAGGTTTGGGTTAGAGCAGCCAGAAAGGAGACACGTATATATCTAGAACCTACTACGGTGGCTTGACTAGACCATACGTGGGGAACAAAGAAGAGATTTAGCGAAGATGATTCCTGAGTAAATAACCTTGGTCAGTGCAGAATGGTTGTGACTGCTAGCAGTAGGGAATGGACTATGAACAGTCTTCTTGTTTTGGGGGACCAGCATAAAAATAGAAATGTGGGTCAAAGTGGTGGAACCAAAACCCAGAGATGAACTCAGTAATATGGATAGGTCATCAGCAATTTCAGGGAAAAATTCATATGGAGCCATGCTATTTAGCTAGTGGTAGATGTACTTTCAGTTTTGAGAGGATATTAAAATGTGAACATTCATATTTTAATAGGAATTAAGTTCTCATGGAATATTAGAGTAGAAAATAGACTTTTAAGAAAGAATAAGAAAATATAGACTTTTGCAGTCATCATGTTTATAAATAGTAATTAACTCCCAAATAGAGAAGATTATAAATTCCAGGGCTGACCTTGGGAAGTATTACCAACTAATAGGTAGAATAAAAGGAGATTGATCATAGGCCCTTTAGAGAGAGGCCAGGCCATTCCCATCGGAATCCCAGGAGTTTTCATGGGTTTCTAAGAGGCCACCCTCCTGATCCTGAGAAATAATTCTGGCCTCTGGGAAGACAATACCCTGGAAGCCATAGCTGAGTTACAAGATTGACCTTTCAATATTGACCTCCCCTAGGACCAGCATTTGCTCTTGGTCTCTGGAGAAGCTGGCCCTGGTACCAGTCTGATTGGAAGGCATTTTAATAAAACAAGTCCAGCTTTGGTAGGAGATTGAGGAAAGAAAAGTATTCTATTACTCAATCATCACAACAATCTTATGATTTCAGAGATAAAGAGATCTAGAGAGGCTAAGTAAGGTGCTCAGGGTCACCTGGCTAATAAATGATGGAGCCAGGATTCAAGTGTCAGGCTCTGCCTTTGCTTCACCACTCAGTATGCACTCTAAAAGAGACTCAGTTTACCTTGCTGAAATGCTTCTCGTGTAGCCTGAGAGATCATCTGAGAACTACAGAGTTTAAGAACTAGGTATTTTCCAGAGGTAGTAATCTTAGCTAGCACTTCCTTCTGCAGTTTTTTTATCATATATCGGGCACTGTTTTAAGTTAGGTGCTTTATATATGTATGAACTTATTTAAATCTTCACAGGGCCCTATAAGGGAAGTCCTTTTATTATCTCCATTTTGCAGATAGGAAAAATGAGGGATGGAGAAGTTAAAACTGGTGAAAATCACATACCTAGTAATGGGTAGAGCTGGGAATTGAACTCAAGTAGTCAAGCTCCAGAGCCCATTCTCCTAACAGCCATGCTATATTGTATCTCAGAAATAGATGCTGATGAATATAGTAAAGGAAGTTTTAATGGAATGATAGAATAAAAGCCAAATTTCAGGAGAGGAACCGTGCCTTTAAAAAATATACTTGTGGAATTTAGCCAAGAATTAGGAATAGCTATTTTATTTTGTCAAATGCTGCTTTTGTTAAATTACTGAGGTTATTGTGTGTTTAGTTTGATGTATGGTAATTATATTAAATTTCACATATTAAACCAACCTTGCCTTTCCTGGATAAAGCTTACTTAGTTCTGATATATTCATTATTGTTTTCATATATTCAATGTATTAAAATTTTGTTTAAAATCTTTACATCAATGTCCGTGAAGAATATTGGTCTGTATTTTTCTTTTCTTGTAATGTCTGTGGTTTTGCTGTCAGGGCAATGCTGGCCTTATAGAATGAGTTGGAAAGTGTTTCCTCTTTTTTCATTCATTCATTCATTTATTTAGAGACAGGTTCTGGCTTTGTCACCCAGGCTGGAATACAGTGGCATGATCTCGGCTCACTGCAACCTCTGCCTCCTGGGCTCAAGCCATCCTCCCACCTCAGCCAAGGTCCTGAGTATCTAGGACTACAGACACATGTCACCACAGCCAGCTAATTATTTTGTATTTTTGGCAGAGTTGGGGTTTCACCATGTTGGCCAAGCTGGTCTCAATTCTTGAGCTCAAGCAATCTGTCTGCCTCAGCCTCCCCAGAGTGTTGGGATTACAGGTGTAAGCCACCACAGTGGGCTTCTCCTCAATTTTTTTTTTTTTTTGAGACAGAGTCTTGCTCTGCCCAGGCTGGAGTGCAGTGGCGTGATCTCAGTTCACTGCAGTGTCCATCTCTCAGGTTTAAGTGATTCTCGTGCCTCAGCCTTCCAAGTAGCTGGGACTACAGGCATTCGCCACCATGCCCAGCTAATGTTTGTATTTTTTTAGTAGAGAAGGGGTTTCACTGTGCTGGCCAGGCTGATCTTGAACTCCTGACCTCAGGTGATCCCCCTGCCTCAGCCTCCCAAAGTGCTGGTATTCATCCACCATGCCTGGCCCCCTCTCCAATTTTTAAAACAGTTTGTGTCGAATTGGTATTGTGCCTTCCTTAAATGTTTATAGAATTTAAGCCTTCCCAGGCCCAGGGTTTTCTATGTAGGAAGGTTTAAAATAACTTTGATTTCTTTAACAGATACAGGGAAATCCAGATTTTCCTTTTTTCTTTTTTTCTGAAAATTCAAAAAACCAGATTCCTTTTTTTAAAATGAGGCTTAGTAGTTTATGTCTTTCAAGGAATTTGTCCGTTTCTGCTAAGTTGTTGGATTTATTTGCATAAAGTTAATTATGGTATTCTATGATTCCTTTAAGATCTCTACAATCTGTAATGATGTTTTCCTTGTCATTCCTGATATTGGTCATTTGTATTTTCTTTTTTTTTTCCTGATCAGTTTGGCTAGAGGTTTATAAGTTTTATTGCTCTTTTTAGTAAGTAATGAGCTTTTGGTTAATTGGTTTTTCTCTATTTTTCTATTTCATTGAATTTTGCTTGCTTCAGATTTAACTTGCTCTTCTTTTTCTAATTTCTTAAGGTAAGAAATTACAGTCATTGATTTGAGACCTTTCCTGTTTTCTCATATAGGGATTTAGTGCTATAAATTTCGCCTTAAGAACTGCTTTAGCTGCATCTCAAAGATTTTGATACGTTATTTTTATTTTCATTCAGTTAAGAATATTTACTCATTTCCCTTTGTTTTATTGAGATATGCCATTTAATAACTATTCATGGACTACTTAGAGGTATGTTATTTAGTTTCTAAATATTTGGGGATTTTCCAGATGTCTTTCTGTTACTGATTTCAAATTTTTTTTTTTTTTTTTTTTTACTTTTCTCTTTTTTTTTTTATTTCATGGCCAATGTGATACTATGTTACTGATTTCTATTTCAGTTCCACTGTGGTCAGAAAATATGCTTTCTATGACATGAATTCTACTAAGTTTTTGAGACATTTTTATGCCCCAGAATATGGTCTATCTTGGTGAGGTTCCGTGTTTACTTGAAAGCTTCAGGAATATACATGAGCCTTTCTGTTGTTGGGTGAAGTGTTCTATAAATGTCAATTAGGTAAAGTTGGCTGATAGTGTTGTTCAAGTCTTCTGTTCTTACTGATTTTTGTGTGTCTGTTTAATCTATCAATTATTAAGAGAGATGTTGACATCTCCAATTTTAATTGTGGACAGTTGTCTATTTCCCTTGTAGTTCTGTAAGTTTTTGCTTTATGTATTTTGAAACTATGTTATTAGGCACACAAAAGTTTAGGATTGTTATATCCCTTTCATGAATTAATTTCTTTATCATTACTAGGAATAAATAAAATCATTTCATAATACTCTTTTCCCTGAAATCTATTTCGATTGACATAGCCTTTCCAGCTTTTATTTGATTAGTATAGGCATGGTATATCTTTTTCTTCCATCCTTCTGCTTTTAATCTGTTTGCATCTTTTTACTTAAAGTGTATTTTTTTATTTTTTAAAATTCATTTTATTTTAGGTGCATACTATATCGGGCATTTCTCCCCGTGTTATCCCTCCCCACCTTCCCCACCCCCTGCTGTCTCTCCTCTACCCCCACCCCTCAACTGCCCCCAGTGTGTGATGCTCCTCTCCCGGAGTTCACATGTTCTCGTTGTTCAACACTCACCTATGAGTGAGAACAGTAGGTGTTTGGCTTTCTCTTCTTGTGTCAGTTTGCTGAGAATAATGGTTTCCAGATTCATCCAAGTCCCTACAAAGGACACAAACTCATCGTTTTTTATGGTTGCATAGTATTCCATGGTGTATATGTACCACATTTTCTTTGTCCAGTCTACCATTGATGGGCATTTGAGTTGGTTCCAGGTCTTTGCTATTGTACACAGGGCCGCAATGAACATACGTGTGC